ATCTATCTATCTATCTATCTATCCATCCATCTATCTATGTCTTGTAGAGCAGGATATTCATGTATGCTAATTTGCAGCAGACACAGATCAGTTTTTAAATGCCAGTTATATTAATAGTGTGAGGCGGCTCCTGTGCTTTTAACCTGTGTTGTAAGTCTGTACTTTTGGAAATGCAGTTTTCTTTCTACTGTTTTTATTCATTATTACAGAACCACTGGTCTAACTCTTGTTTATGGTATTTCATCTATTTCTGATTTGTATCAACGATCATGAATTTATTGTCCAATACACATTATCTACAGTTTTACTGCTGAAAGACTCAAAGGACCAAGGATCTGTTTTTAGGCTGTGATAAAGAAAAACAGGCGTCCAGTGAAATAGTTGCAGACGGTACATCTTTTCTGCCCCCGAGAGCTCAACTCACTGAAACTTCAGATAGCAAATGCTAAACATCGTCGGTTTGACAACTCATGTGCTGCAAATAATCACAACACAACCAAAAACAGAAACCCGGGCTCGACGTCGTCTGTGTTTGATTTGAAGTCGATGTCTCATCAAATTAATTGGATTGTTGGAGGATTGTTTTCTTTGTTTTCTTCCATTTTGTCTATTTGCATGTTTTCTTAGTTTGCAGCGCTCAGGGTCAGAGAGAGTCATGTGATGAATCAACAGTTTTCAGCTGTCTACACTAATCAAGTCTACCTACAGAAAATAATTAACACAATGTAATGTTGTGCTATTTCAAAGCATTTTCTGTTTTTTTTTTTTTCTCAAAACATTGAGGTGCTGAAAATTACCTTTCTTTTTTCCATTAGTGGACACAATAATAAATCCTTTCACTCACTGAATCACCACGGCAACAACAAAAGTATCAACCGACAATCTCCAGTGTTGCTTGTTGATTCTTAGCGACAGCTTGAAAAAAAAGATGTTTCACACATGTGCGTCAACGGAAAACGACAAAAAACAGAAGCCACGGCGCAAATGCAAAACACCACGACACGAAAGCAAAAGCCACGTGACTGAAACACAAATTGAAGCGAGAAACGGTTCACTTCACCACTCTGCTCGTATCATTGTCAACGTTTTGCACTCATGTGAGACATCCGATAAACCTCATTACGGATATATA